TATGTCTAAACTACAGTACAAGTACTTCAAGACTTTTCTGTAAAACCGACAGGACACCAACTATTTAAATACCTGCAGCTACAATTTGATAAATGCGCCAACTCAAATTGCAATTTTGATTAGTCCTAAAACCTATAGAAGAATAACTGAACCTAACTAGTAATGAATGAATGTTCTATCTGTTAATTCTTTTATTTCATCACTACTGGAACGCACTTCACATGAGCATCTCTCCAAACGCACTCTCTCGTCTGCAGTTAGTTCAGAACTCCACGGCACGACTTTTAAGAGGAACCAAAAAACTACAACATATCACACCAACCTTCGCGTCTTTGCAATGGCTTTCGGTTCGATTTAGAATTGAGTTTAAGATTTTATTGTTTGTTTTTAAAACTTTTAATGGACTGGCACAGCAATACATATTGGACCTCATTCAGATTTACGTATGAGCTCTGAGGTCCAAGGGCCAGCTCCAGCTCGTGGTGCCTAAAACAAAACTTAAAACCAGGGCGGACAGGACCTTTGGCCCAAAGCTCTGGAACGCTCTGTCCAACCACGTCCAAACAGCCCCAACAGCGGAGTGTTTTAAGTCTAGTCTTAAGACCCACTTTTACTTTTACTACCTTTTTTTTTTTATTATTCATTTTTTAAAATGAATTGAGCTTTATGCATTTTAACACTTTTCATTTCTTGTTTTTGTTTGATTTGCCGTCTTTTATTGTGTTAATTTGTCTGTGCAGCACTTTGGAAAATGTCATGTTTACAAAATATGCTAAATAAAGAAAAAAAGAAGAAGTAGATTGGATTGAATTCACCCAGGTATTTCCTCATCTCGCACGTCTCTTGTCATCGGCCAATCATAGCCTGCGATCATTACCATATCATTCAGCTCTACTCTACAATCCTCTTCTTCATAACAGCAGCAGAATCACCAGCCTCCTCAGCCTCCTCTTACCCCCCAAACACTTTTTTCCAATAACAAATTGTTGGCTGGATGTGTCTCCCTGATGAGCTAAAATGGAAATAGCGAATACCATACGACTGTTCCTGCTCTGTACCGTGTACTCACCCTCCCTCCTCTGTACCATATATGCATTCACGTATTCTGTACATGCCCAAACCGTATCTTTTTTCCTTAGTGCTTGATGTAACAAACTCAGTCAGTCTGAAGGTGCGAATGCAGAGATGGAGCGTAGCATCATATGAACCGTTGTGAATATTTATAGCTTTAACACGTTGTTTGGAAAGTGGTCCTGCTTCTCTCCAGAGGCCAGTGTGACGACTGCCTCCTACACATATTGTTTACGAGTACTGCCAGTCCAAAGCAAGAAGAGATTTCATGGGAATATTAGAACTGTATGTACATGGACATCTTTTCCTTTTAGATACATGGCTGTCAACAAATCATAGTGGGAAAAAAAAGTTATAAAAGTCCACTCAATTTATAGATTTCACAAATAAATGAAAAATAGGAAAGAAAAATTAAGCACATTAAGTTCAATTTAGTCATCTGCATGGACTGGACAATAGGGGTATGAATTCTGGACAAGCACATTCCACTATATATCTGAGTACCAAGTATACGAATCCTGTATTAAAGGTCTTATATTACGCAAAATGGATTCTTGTGTAAAGCCATGTTAGAATGTTCTTACCTCATCAAAAACCAACCCGGAGTTGTGTTTCATTCACACATGTTTGAGTAACCCTTTATTATTAGTCTCTTTACATCTCCAAAGCTCAAAATACTCTGTTCCAGCTTGTGATGTCATGAACCGGGGGTTTTCAAGTTAACGGCTACATTTTACCTTTTCCTCAGTAGAGATTGGCAATTCCAGAGCTGAAATCACCCAAATGATCCTAGTGGAGGTGTATGGAGTTTAAAAACACAGTGGAGCACTTCCTGTATCACAAGGTGGAACAGTGTGTTTTGTGTTTGAGAGAGCTCAGTCTAAATATGCAGGGTTTAAACATGTGAATGAAACAAAACATAACTCCAGGTCTGTTTTTTGATGAGGAAACATTATAGATCAGAAATGTGTAATAATATGGCCTTTAATCATTATCTAGAATAAAAAAAACAAAACTATGATGTTCAGAGGACACATTCGACTAAAGAAACTCTTGGTCGACTGAAGACATGTCCAGCTGATCGATAAGTTGACTAAAAAGTGGCCGTGACAAAAGCTCTCAAAACGAAACTGCACTCATAAGACTATATCTGCAGGGGAGTTTATGCAAAAAAAACAAAAAAACAAAAGCCATAAAAAGTACTAGGAAACTACATATTTTATAGAAAGTTTAATCTGCCTTATAAATACCAAAAAAGTTCTCAACAATTTCAGCGAACTTACTAACTCTTTCTTCCGTCCCATATAAATCCTTATCATCTAAAATAGATCAGCTATAGAAAATGTTGGTAGACTAAGACTCCATCAGCTGATAGACGATATTATTTTGATACCAGTTCAGTTCCAGTTGTTTTGTCAGTACCCGCAGCACCCAAGCCTTTTTATTCTGTACAGTGGTATAGAACTTAAAGGGCCCATATTACACTACTTTCTGATCTATGTTATAATGTTATTTCTGCACACACAAAACTGGAGATGTGTTTTGTTTCATTTATTCACACATAAACCCTCCATATTTAGGCTGAGTTCTTCTCTCAAACTGAAGAGACATGATTTCAACCTTGGAATTAAGAAACTCTTCTAAACTAAAAGAAAAATATAGCTGTTAACTTGAAAACCACTGCTTCATGACATCACAAGGTGGAGCAGAGCATTTTGAGCTTTGGAGATGTAGACAGATTAATAATAAATGGTTACTCATGCATGTTTTTTTGAGGTAACAGTATTATAACATGGCTTAAATCTCACAAGAGTCTATTTTGCATAATATGGGCCTTTTAAACACTGCCCATCCAATGTGGAAGTGACATTTCCTGAGAATTTAACCTGAATTTTTCACAGCTAAAAATAAAGCTACATCCGATTCTTCATCCTGAGTGTCTAGTGACAGACATTTGTGTTGGAGTCGTTATATAATTGTTTCACATTCTTCACTTCCAGAGGCTCTCAAACATGCACAGTCTCCATGGCGCAGATGGCACAGACACATGAATAATTATGGATCCCAATGTGAGATGTCACTCCATTTGTGTACGATAACAAATGCAATATATCTAACCCTGCTCATACTACTCCTCCTGTTAAACAATGATGGCTCAATGACTTCAACTTTTTATGACAGAGGTGCACAAGGTAATTATTAACATATGCTGTATTCAGGTTATATTGTTAAATAATATAAAAACAATAATGATAGTTTATGCTGCAAGTTGAAATGGGCAAATTGATCTTGGGTAGCCTTGATGTCAGATTGTGTCAATAGTTTAAAAAAAAAAAAAAAAAAACACACACACACAAGCACTGGTACTAAATTCAGATCTTAACCTGGACTAGACCAGGACTAAACCTTGACTAGGCCAAGACTACCGTCATTTCCAGACTATAAGCCGCTACTTTTTTCTCACACTTTGAATCATGTGTCTTATACAATGATGCGGCTAATATATAGACGGATTATTTGTTTGGCACATTATGGTTTAGCAACACAGCGGATGTGCAGTTAACAAGAAGTTGCAGTTTTATCTAGCGATGTGGTCAGCGCACTCAAACAGTTCATCGCTTTGTGATAAAATAAGTTATGATGCTAAATTAAAATTAGAGAGTGGGATAGGTCTTACTCGTATGTGTTAAATGCAGGTGAGTGTGTAAATGACGAGAAGAAACATCTCAAACTTCAGTAGCCGGACATCCACTCACACATGATTGATAGAACTAACCCCGTCCCAGGGAGAGTTTGAAATCTGCTGAAATCTTACAAGACACTCATATGATACAGACAGGACAGAGATTCTTTCTGCAGAAAACATGCGCAATAGAGTGTGGGGAGAGACGGGGTTGATGCGCCGAGAGAGATGCTAGTTTGATTGTGTTTTGAACAGTTATTTTGCACTTCATGCACACACCCTCCTCATGGAAAACACACAAACAAATACATATGATGCAGCTTTAAAGTTAAAGGCAATTGATGTGGCTGTGAAAGAAGGAAACAGAGCTGCTGCATGTGAGCTCGTCATCAATGAGTCGACAGTGAGACTTTGGCGACGGCAGCGTGACGAACTGACTTAATGCAAAAAGACGACAAAAGCTTTCAGAGGCGATAAAAGCAGATGGCCCAAACTTGAAAATGTACTTGAAGACGTGGACACTTGCAGCTTATATTCAGGTGTGACCTATATATGTACAATTTTAAAACTGAGTTAAAATTTTGTTGATGCAGTTTATATTCAGGTGCGCTCAATAATCTGGAATTTACGGTAAATAAACCAGGACTAGAAAATGACAAAACTGAGCCTATATCAGGCGTACCCAGCACAAGTAGGAACACACAGTTGATATTGCAGCAGGGGAGAAGAGAAAATTTGACATATGAATGCAAAACGAATTATTTGTATTGTAATCTGAAATGGAAGTAAATAAAGAAATTCACCATTTTTCAGGCGTCAATCATCATGACAGTGGTAAAATTGCTTCTTCTCATGATCACATTTGACTTTGTAACATCCTTTCTCTATTGATACTTTGCAGTGACATCACGCCGGGGGTGTTCTACATGTATGCCTATAAGGTGGAATGTTCAGCAGTTATCATGGTAACACATTGCACACAGTCAAAAAAGTTCTAAGATTGTCTAAAAAATAAAACAAAATTGATTTAAACAACTCATTTTCAGGCGCCTGTGGTCAATATGAGCGTTCATGGTCTTGTTATGGAGTTTAGGAGCACAAATTTAAGTCTAATAAAGCCTCAGACGGAGCATGCCTACAGTTGTCATCACACCCCCGGGAACGATGACGACATCAGCTGCAAAGTATCAATATAAACCTACGATATTTTCCTGTAGTAGTTTGTGAACTGTTGTGTTTTTGGTACCTTGTGTGAGCAGTTGCAGGGTGCGCACCTCCTCCCTCACCCTCAGCTGGAGCACCTGCTGGAGAATGTGTTGTCTCTGTGCCTCCTGAACGATGCCCATCCGCTCCAACTTCCTGTCCGTCAGACGCATCAGAGCCCGCCCTGAAAACAAACACAGACGTACATGCACAAAAGCAGGCGGGTTAGACGGAGGAAATAGCGCTTTGTAGGGCCGTCTAGTCCATTAATAAGGCAATGGTGTCTAAATCGACCAAAATTTCTGGTAATAACAAAATGATTAGTCACCTAAGTTAGTAAGTGATTTTAAGATTTGCTATTTTTTGGTATTTATTTGTGATTAAACTGACTAAACTAAACAAATACAGTGTTTCCTAGTACTTTTTCTGCATAAATAGTAGTTTTTGCAGTTTGTTTTGGGAGCACCCCCCTCTTTTTAGTCACCTAATCGATCAGTAGGACATGTCTTTAGTTGAATAATAACATTTTTAGTCACTTCCTGCCCCTGAGAATTGCTGCTGTTGTATTGTAGTATTATTATTATTTCACTGAAGGAGGGTGCACTCACATTTGGTTTAGGCCCAGTCTGAATCCTAGATTTTGGTTCTGTTCTAGTCCTGATCTAGCACAGGTTTAGTGATGCGTTTAAGCCCAGTTCAGTCCCGGTTATGATCTTGTGGATTTGCTAGTGAACACACCCTCCTCTTGACTCCTGGCTTTTCAAGTTCATCTTCTCTTGGCTCAGTCTGGAGTAGTGGTGACCCATATGCCAAGAAAATCATATCACCATTTCCTTAGAGCCAGATCACAATTTAGATTAAATTCTTAGTATCTTAGAATCTTTTATACGGTCTATAAGAGGTAACTAAATCTCTGCTGTTTCTGAATTGCTACTTCAAGTATCAGTACACAAAACTCACACAATCAGACAGAATGGCCCTTTCCTGATCAGTTTTAGGCCCCATCCACACTAGTACATATTTGAGTCATTTTTGTTGTGGATGCAGTGTTCATCCACACTAATCCGATGGAAAACTGCTCCAGAGATGGAACGATCTGATGCCGCCAGCTCCCTCGAATTCATCTGAGTACAGATCTGATCCAGCACTGCGTGGACGCCTGAAAACATTGATAAGCTGACGTAGAAGCTCTAGATGCCGTACGTATTGGACCACGTCACTGTGACATGCGCCTTCCTGATTCGCTGGGTTTGTGACATCGGTCATGTGACGCTATTGCATAAAACAGTTTAAACAAACCAGAGACAAACGGGCAACAGCTTAGCTAGAACTACCTAGTTAGAAACTACGTGTCTGGATGCAAACTGTTTCCGATACAGTGATACGATGATTTATTTCAGTGTAAACCTAACCTTAGAATGATCTTGATATATATCAGAGATAAGATGAGATATATATGATAAGATGATTATTTTAAAGAAACTTTTAATGGAATGAAAATTATTTTTTTCTTAACCGAAAATATATTTTTTTAAATTACATTTTTAAAACATTTTTGCATTGAGTATCACACTTTTTCATAATATGTTTTGACCCTGTTTGGCAAAACATTAGCATCATCATGGAGACAAGCAGCTGGCAGACCTTCCCTCAGAAAAGTTAGATTGTATAACCTTAAACTAGGTTGAAAAATGTTTAGTATTTGTAGCTTGATGTTTATTTTATTTCCTTTTTCTCTTTTCAATTAGCTTAAACCTTGCTCACTACATATCATTGTGCACAAATCTTGGACAGCTATTGAAATGGTCTTGGCAGTTCTTCTAACGTGAACGCCTTGATTTCTCCTCCGAGACTGTTCCTCTGAATGGATGCTGCTGCTCCTATCCAAAATCATTCATCAGAGCGATGGGTCTAATTCACTTAAGCTGCCTTCTCCAAAGACGTTTAACTAAATCAGGCCTGAACTGCTCCTCCGGGCTGCTCCAGTATTAACAGCACCAGGTGGGCTCCAGCTTTGGACTGTGGGGCTGGACCTGCTTCTTGGACTCTTGTTTTGGGGGGTGCCAGAGAAACACGGCCAGGACAAAGCTGCAGGAATCCAAACTGAGCAGAGTGGAGCACAGCCATGCAGAGAGGGGAGGAGGAGGAGGAGGAGGAGAGGAGAAGGATGAAAAGGAAGAAGAGGAGGAAGAAGAGGAGAAAGAAGTATGGACACATGCTCTCTCTCTCTTTTTTTTTTTTAATGTTATGTTTACTTTTTGTGATATATATATACAGAAGACATCAAATACATAAAGCAAGATATATGAATTAATGTAGGAAAGACAAAAGAAATACATTTTGCATTCAAATTCTTAAACCATTTGCTTTGTTGACAGCGCTGCAAACCCTTGGCTTTCTCTCAATGAACTTTATGATGAAGTGTCCTGAAATGGTTTTCACTTGACAGATGTGCCTCTGACAAGGTCAAGAGTGCCAAAAGTGTAAACCAGGGTTCAGTGGCAGCTGGTGGTATAATTTTTTTAGCAGGCGCCTAGGCAAAAATGATAAATATCTATTATAACTATATGTGTTTTATATATAGGCTATATAGTATTGCCAGAAACAGTCATCTTGGTCACTATTGGTTGAACTATATCCATCAGAGCACAATGCACAACCTGATCAACCACTCACACCCAGCCTTAACAACACAACATAACACACTACACTCAACCAGCCCCAACAACGTCACCGTCACCTACAATAAGAGGCTACTGTCACAACACGAACACACGGCATCAGCGACGGTGAGAGAGAGTTCGCATGCTGAATCACAATAGGTCAAGTGTGTGATAAACGTTTATGAAGACCAATCAGTTGATCTGAGTGCACCCCAAGTTCCACCAAGACGTACTTCAGGGCTGCAATGTAAAGTCATGGGCAGAAGCAATGTACTAACATCATATTCTCTCAAAACTTCAATTAAGTTGCTCCAACTTAGCGAACTCAAAGGCCAAACACATGACTCAAGTAAAGGGGATATGAGAACATTTAACATGATAAAAATAAGTCTCTGCAGATACATGTTAAATTTGAGACAAAATATGAAACATAAAGCCTAAGACAAAATAATGACTTTTTTTTTTTTGATCAAATTATTATCCATGTTATTATTAGCAGTTATATATATTCCAGTTGGCAGTGCATTTTTCTCCCTTTTAAACCCCCACCCTTAAACTCCCTATTGATGGGCATCTACAGTAAACATATGTACACGCACATACAGACACATAAATGCATAAATAGAAAACGCACATATACATATATAATACATATATACAGCATCTACATAAACACCCCTACCCATATACACATATTATATTATATATACATACACATGTATATACACATTTGCACATTTACAAAAAAAGACGCATGTGTTTATATTCCCTCTATACAAAACACGAGCAAATTTCTTCCGTCAAAAGACATCAGCAGAAATTGCGTTATACATACTTATTATGTACCATATATAGAAAGTTGACTAAGAGTATACATATTGTGTACATTCTAATAACATATATTATAATGAAAAATCACCAGGTAACAACTATACAATAGATTCAGATCTCAATTTGATCAATAGATTGGACCAGCAAGAGATGTTTTTGTTTTTTGCTAAATGCATCCACAAAATGATGACTTTATAATTTATTTTTATTCATTTATTTATTTTTATCTAGGTCAAGTTAGGGAGCACCCTCTATTGGCCAGCCACCCCTGCCAAGGTTCAAAGCAAAGGGTGGCTATTTACCTTTTTCTTTTTTTTTTTTGCTTACTACATTTTATATGTGCCCATTCATAATTGTGATGCCTTTGGTGAGAATCTAAAATGCAAAAAATGATGAAAATAAAGAACATACATGAAAAAGTGTGCCAAACTTTTGACTGGTCGTGTACTCTGGTAAGATTTAGTTTGATGATCCACAGATTTCAATGCAATAACTGAGTCCATCTCCTACAGTATATGTGGTAATCTTCAGCAGCACCAACATGCACTTACAGTACTGGAGCCTATTCAGATGTGCTGTTTCACTGTGGGCCCATTTTAATGATGGAGAATTTCAGACTTTTTTATGAGTTTCAAATCTCTGTAGTTCCTCACAAGTCGCTGCAGTAAATTTACGGCTTTAATATTGGAGGTGGAGTTTTGGTGCTATTTACGGCCCCAACCTTCCTCTCCCCGCTGCCTCGGCTGCAATATTAACCACTCACTTTTGTTGACTGCTCTGCATATTTGAAGAGCTTGTAAATGATTTTGAAGCTTCATAAATTATTAGTGACTTTAATCTGCCAAAATGTTAAGAGCATGCTTGTCTGGGCCTCTTGTTTGTTGTTTGTTCCTCTGCTCAGTATTTAGACAGGTATTTCTTTACATTTTCAATATTAAATCACGTCTGTGCCATTTCATTGGTTCTCATAAGCCTGAAGCACACAGAGATAATACCACTGACACAATTTCTCCTTCATTGCTATAGATCACTGCCTGTGGTGATGCAAGGATAGAATTCCTTGTCTGATTTTGATATTTTTGGGGAAAAGTGTATTGTATTTTGTATGGCTCCTGAAATATTTTTATTTAACTTCTGGCTGTGAATAACCTCACTACTCACTGATCTCCACATAAACATCATTAGTTGAGCAATCAGATGTGTTCTTTTGGCAAGACACTTAACTTGAAGGTGGTGACCATTTACCATTTCTCTTGTGTTTGGCTTATTAAGCAGAATCCCATTCATTTAAATGAGGAAGAACAGAACATTTTTGCAGCTAGAATATAATACAGTATGAAATAGTTTGACTTGTGTAAAATGTTCAGTGTTCACATGCACCTTTTCTCTGGGTGCCTTGAAAACAGCTGTGTAGTGTGTCTGGAGGTTATGCAGAGGACATCACAACCTTTGAAACATGAGTGTCACTGGTGAGTAATGACATTATCTTTTGTAAAAGCTCAAAACACGAGGAAAATGTGAAAGAGCTGCTACAGTTGAATAACAAAGATAAAAGCCTACAACTTTACTTAATGTTTAGTTTGTATCTGGCATTAAAACAAGAAAATCGTCGTAGAAAACCAATGAACAGTTAAACTGCTAAACAACAGGGACCCAGCAGGCTGTGCTCACAGACTTTGGGATCACACAC